TACCTCAGCAGGCCATGGATACCGAGTAAGCCACGTTTGTTCTAGGACGATGGCTACTTCGTCTGCTGCCTTGGAGCAGATCTCTGCAATCTCGAACCATCCGGTTACGGGATCAATCATTGTCAAGCAATGAAGTGTGCGGAATTCTTTTTCTTGGATCCCCGACGTTGTAAGGGCCTATCAGGTCAATACATAGTCTTTCCCAAGGGATCTCCTCGCAAGTCTTTGGAGGCATCAATCCCAGCTTACGCGTCTTGGGTTTGTTCATCTGGCAGCTTTGGCAACGCTGACATACGGCCTGCACAGTCCTGCGCAGACCCTTCCAGGTGTAGTGTTGCTGATGGTTAGTTCGTGCGAGTCTCGCCAGGATGCATCAGCACACCATGGTACCATTCAACTAGCTTTTTCTGCATAGCTTTAGGTACGACGATTTTCTCGTCCTTAACTACTAAGTCGTAGGACTTATCCCCTCTGGGGAAAGATGCTTCTTGTAATCGTTTGGCTTGTCCCTGAGGAGCTTCTTGATATCGTTGTCGTTTTCTGACGATGTTCGATCTCGGGAACGAGAGGGAACTCGCTAGGAAGTCTCTTCGCTCTGCAGCCATGAGTTCAGCGATCTCGCTGGCGTCCATCTGTTCTGAAGAACCGTCGTTGTTGGAGATGTTAAGTCTCGACAATGCATCAGCGACGATGTTCTGTTCGCCCTTGATGTACCGTAGTTCAGGGCCGTATTCTTCCAGAATGATAAGGCGCCATCGCACTACGCGATCGGTATTGAAGTTCTTGCATGTAAGATTCTTGTGGTCCGTGTGTACAACGATCTTCTGTCCTAGAAGAATGTTACGAACTCTTTAGAGTTTCTACGATACTGAGAAGTTCCTTCTCGGTAACTGTGTAACGTGTCTGAGCAGGGTTGAGCTTCCTGCTGTAGAACGCGATAGGTTTTCCCTTCTGGGAAATTACTGCACCTAGTTGAGTATCACTCGCAATCCGTGTGGATAACGAATGTATCGTTGAAGTCAGGGTAGGCGAGCAGTTTCTTTGCTGATGATCTTCTTCATCTGCTAAAGGCTTGTCGTTTCCGCTTCCCATTTCCACTTCGTTGTTTTGGAAGTCAACGAAGCGAGTGGGGCCAGTATGTGATCGTCTAATCCACATGTCTCGATAGTAGTTCACTAGTCCAATGAATCTACGGAGTTCCTTTCTGTGTTAGGAGGAGCGATATTCTTGATCCGTCTATTTTCTTGGTTATAGGTTGGATCCTTCTCGAGAATCCAGTAACCTAGGTACTCAAGTTCTCCTCTTGCGAAGAAGACTTGGTAGCATTGATCTTAAGTCCGGCTTCTCGAAGCCTTCGGAGAACTTCATCCAACTTTTCAACGTGATCTGCTAGATCGCCGTTAGTTAGGATGAGTAGAATCATCAATGTATGCACAGACGTATTCTAGGTCGTGCATTAGTGTTCCCATCTTCTCTTGGAAGATGTCGGGACTATTACATAGGCCCATTGGCAACCTCTGGTACTCGTACTTTCACCACGGGAGTACGATGGTACAGAGTTGCTTCGAGTGAGGTGACAGCTCGATGTGATAGTATCCCATGTTCAGGTCTAGACTAGTAGCGTACTTGAATCCGTCTAGGTTCAAGAGCATGTCTGTATTTTGGGATAGGATAAGCTTCGCTTAATCCTTTTGTTCAGTTCCCGGAAATCAGAGATGAATCGTACAGATCCATCTTTCTTGGAATGATGAAGTTGGTGCCGCCCACTCGGAACGGTTTACCTTCTTGAGTACTCCTGCCTCGCAGAGACGTTCAACCTCCATTTTAAGAGGTTGGTATGAACCCGTGGAATAGGATAAGCTCTGGCATGATAGGGTTTAGCATCAGGGAGAAGTTCTACTTCGTAGTCGTCCATCTGCCACTTTCCTAAAGTACCATCGAATAGGTCAAGTACTTCGTCTAGTAAGGAATGAAGCTGTTCCTTCTCTTCCGTGTTTAACTGATCTTGACTTTGGCAAACCTGCCTTTTAAAGTCAGCTTGTTCGTATTTCGCATCAAGAATCTTCTTGAGACGATCTGCACTGTCATCAACAGCGGTAGGATCAGGAATGAAAAAGTTTTCTTCTTCATTGTGTCGCTATCTTTCATAGGAATAGATGCGCCGTCCCATTCCACTGACATGGTAGTGAAATCGAACTTGAAACCTAAGTCAGAGAGAATGTCTCGACCTATGATCATGTCATACGCCCCCAGCTCTTGGTGACGTGTAAATCCCACTCGATAATTCTATCTTCGTGGAATTCAGGAATCATAAATGCACCCTTGCACTTCGTGCTGGTGTTTAATTCTCCTGCAGGGGTAGTCCACATCGTTTTGGACGCCCCAAGATCCTTCATGCGTAATTTCTTGCATGAGGTTGAGCAATCAGGTTCGGATGCTCCTGTATCCAGTAAGCAAGGAGTGTAACGGGTTTTGGTTTCCCTTTTTCTCGCTTGTTAAATCTAACATAGACGATAGGTTTGAGGTCTCTTGTCTTGCGACGTTTACGAGGTGGTTGGCCACGGACGAGGTTAACGATGCTAAATAGATCATCAGAGTCTAGTTGAGCAGCTTCTAGGCAATCATCTAATTTGCCGTAGAGTTCATCGGTTGCAAACAATTCTGTTTACTAGTTAGTGAGATATCTTCATCACTTTGGTATGAGAAATCGGAACATGGTTCCGTTGAGTCACCATCCTGGCCTAATCCTCAGATAGAATTTCTCCATCCAAGTGATTGAAATCGATAGAGGAGTTGTCCTCATTGTCAGATCTTCTGATTTGCGCTTGGCACATGGTTGCGAAGTTTGAAGTGGTTGCACGAGTATCATCGATCTCGTTTTCTTCGTCATTGTCGACGAGAGGAAGAATGGTTTGTCACGCAACTGTTTTCGAGTTGCGGAACGCATGCTTCCTTGAGCCATCTTCATGGTGAAGGAATAGATTGAGGGTAGCTGAAAGCATTGTGTTTGTTAACAAAATGCACTATGCTAAAAGCTAGGTAAAGATCTTTCGAGTGTTTTGAGTTTGAGAGAATGAAAGTTATGAGAGAGATTAGAAAGCTATGAAAACTAATCAACGAGAGAGATCATCATCAAGGATCGTAGATCTGGTCTCCCGCGGGAGACTATAAAGTGTGATAGAGTAGGTTGCGGTAGTAATCCTACGTATCTCCACGATCCTAAAACGGAACGCGTGGAAGGTTTGTCTAGCCTGGATCTAGTAGCGTGGAAGTACTCCACGAGCATAACTGAGATATGGTTACACACATGTAGTCGATGGTTTATATTTATCTTAATGACATATATATATATTTATTGGCTATCCTAAGAGTAGTTCGCACGACTGAATAACAGCGTAAATACGGAGAGTGGTGAAGCATACACCACAGGAGGTGCGTAGAGTACTTAGGCGCACACCAACCTGAAACTTTTGAGAGATCGCACACATACTCGACCGATACTTTTGAGGGATCGCTGACAGAATATACCGACGGATATCGCCAGTTCAAGCGAAAGAAAGAACTGATTTCACGACCAGCCACAATGACAAGCACAATGGCAAATACATTTGTGGCAATGGCAACATCAGTATGAACTCAATACGTCAAAGAAGTTGTAGATGAGTGACCGCCTGGACTACTTGCATCATTGTCACTGTCATTGTTGCCTTCGTCTTCCTTGGATTCTTGACTGCAATGCTTGAGTTCGTCCTCAGAATCGGAATCGTCAGTGGATGCTTCTTCCTTTGTCAACAGAAGACGACGGCGAACAGTCTTCTGGGAACTCTTTTGCTTAGCAGCCCTTGTAGGTGGACTATCCCGAGAACTCAAGCTGGAAAGAGATTCGGGGGAACCCTCAGTATTGTCGTCGGTACTGTCGTCCGACGTCTCCTCGCCTGTTTTACTGGTGACAGATGGCTTCTTCTTTGCAGCAGGCTTCTTCTTTGCAGCAGGCTTTCGGTCACTGTCATCACTGGAAGACGAAGGGATCTCCAATGCAGTCAGGGACGTGGATCCCTGCTTTGGTTTGGACGCAGCTCCCGGCTTTGGTTTCGGCTTCGGCTTCGGTTTTGGCTCGATATCACCGGAGTCTGTGATGACCAAGGCAGTTTCGTAACTGCGCCCACTCTCTTCCGTGTCAGGTGTCCGCTTCCGACTAGCTTGACCGCTTAACTTTGGTGTTGAAGCAAGAGTCTCTTCAGTTCCACCCATTCCGAATTCCATGCTGTATGTTCCAGTACGGATGGTCAGTGGAATGTAAGCTTGATTGGGGAGTAGACCGCTGTTGGAAACACCACTATGAGGCTGATTCTTGCGGCTTGTGTTGTTGCTGGTGGAACCACGACTTCCACGACTTCCTTCTTTGTTGCGGCTGCTTTCAATACGACCACCATCTCGATCAGGTCCATGGTCGTCGCCACCATCCGGATCATTGTCTTCGTCAGGATCTTGGATGGGATCACGGATCTCCTCGACGTCAGCTGTTCCAAGTCGTCGGACCATCCATCCACTAAAAGGATGCGCCTCTTTGAAGAATACCAATCGACGGGCATACTCATCATGGCTCCAATTGAACCCAGCGGCAACTCTCTTGAAGAAAAATGTTGTCATGGTGATGCTGAAGTGGAGCATATGCAGCATTTCGATGAATTTGTCTGGATGAATATACATTCCCATCATTGCAAAGCCATCTCCAGGACGTGGAAAGGGATAACCACTCTGAGCGAGCCAAAAGATGGGTTGTCGAAGCAAGTGTTCCTCAAACTTCCAAGCAATCTCATTCCCACACATCACATACGGCGTATTGACACCATCGTAGTATTTCTGGACCACGTCCAACAGGACAACGCCGGACTCCTTGAGTTTGTCGATGATTGAATAGCAGCGTTCACACAGAGTGAGTGTTGAAGCCGCAAGACGGATGAAGTCATCCATAGGAAATTCATCTTCTTCATCATCATTGCTATTCTTTGCGGGTGAATCTTGGGTTGTCTCGTTGACTTCGGGCAAAGCAACTCCTGCCGGTGGTGGCGGATTGGTGTCAATCAAGCCGGCAACAGGTTCCCGAGGCGGCGTACCTGGTGGTTGATTGGGATTCTCTGCGGCTATGATGGCTGGGACGTGGTAGTAAACAGATCCACTATCAGCAAGCTTGGAGCCAGGACGAATCGAATTAATGGTTGATCGACGCTTCTTCACAAATGAAGTGTTGGGAGAATCTTCGGCGGGGGGGACATATCCGTCGGAGGATTCAGAACGAGGGTAAAAAGGATCGAAACGCACATTCTCCGATGCTGCGGCATAAGGAGGAGGCTGCGAACGCCGTTCGAAATGTTCCACTTCCACATCATCGACCGATTCGTACTGCGAATAGCCACGTGGGTAATGAGAACGAGGAGCCTTTCCACTGGTACTCATGCGCGCAAAAGGTTGCCGACCCTTCGAAGTAATATCGGACATTGTTACCTTGTTCGAAGGCTTCTTCGCATAGGGGTTCACAAAAGGCTTTCGAGCCGGTGGTTTTTTGCCGTCATCGTCGTCGCTGGAGGCCATGGCTGATTCTTTTCTTCTGTTCTTTGCTCTTTGCTGTTTCGAAGTGTCGAATTCTTGGAAAATGAGAGATATGGGTGAAAATCGTTGGCTTGCTGACCGGATACCATGCTTGCAAACGGAACCAGGACGTCGGTTGAGGTAGTGAACGCAATTATGTATCAACAACTGGCCATTACGCATTCCATGTTAAGCCCAATGAACATTTCTTACAGTTTCGAGCACGATGCAAAATGTCGGTTTACAGTTCCGGGCACGATGCAAAACGTCGGTTGAAGCTGGTAAGTGACAAATCAACAAAGCACGTCGTTTTCAAGGAATTGCATGCGGTCTAAGTACCCTTGTTCGGATCTTTCTACACTACGTTTGGAAGGATCGTCATTACGCCGGCGAATGTTTAAGTATTGTTACGCACCAACAGCAACGATTCTATACAATTCGCCCATCCAAACGCCACATCTTTTGTCGTATTAGGTACGAAAAAAGATCTTCGAATCTAATATCGCGTGATCAAGTGATATTGACTTAACAAGTCTTCTGTTTCTTTGCGACTTGAGCGGACGAAGCACAAGGCTTGAGGGTTTCTTGTTGCATTTTCCTGTAGGAAACTGAGTTCTTCTGAAAGGAGTGAAGTTCCTTAAGACAAATTGTGTCTTCGACATTTTTTTGAGTAAGTCCCGACGCACGAAGGTATCTCCTGTGCTGATCTGACACTGTCAACCCAAGATAATTGACGGCTCCTATCTTCTGCTGGGTGGACAACGATTCGATGAAATCTTCATTGGTTGTGAGCATCTTGGGAGTTGCTCTGGCCACTCGACCGTCCTTTAAAAGTCCTCCCTCATACATTCCGTCTCTTCTTCCTCGTGCTTGTGCCTTGAAACCAGTTCTTCTTGTGTTGCTACGAACTTTCCTCATATCCTCCAAGGAAACATCGAAGTGTCCAAGACTACTACGCACGAAGGCAGCACCCGGACAGCTATATCCCAGGCGTTTCCGACAGTCTTCGCAGTCGCCAGTTACCTTACCATCTTGAGCTGAAAGCGTTAGAACACAACAATTGCGACTCACAGAAACCATTTTTTGGGCAGTTAAGTCGAGTGGCTGTCCTTGGGTTGAATAGATGTCTTCGAACGGATCCTCTTCGCCATTGAGGGATGATTGAATCTTCAGAATTCTTTCCTTTGTGAGTGGGTGGCCGATTCGGTACCCAACATTGCATATCCATGCTGTGGGAATACCCGTGTGGTTGACATCGAGTGGAATGACATCACGATGCAGTTTCAGGAAGGAACTTGCAATCAGGCAGATACGTGAGCAAGTTCTGGGAATAACAACTGTACAAGGATCTTCACGGTCCATCGCGTCCTTCTTCAGTAGGCTTGGATACGTGTCGACAAGCAGTCTTGGAAGGGATACATTCAAGGCAATGGGTGCGTTCTTTCCTTTGATATTGTGGTGGTGGTGACTCTCATTACTATTACTCACAGTGACAACACCGGCATACCCAGGATGACTGTAATTGAAGTTGAAGTATGATCCATGTCCGTACATCTTGAGGAAATGAAGTGCCGCAGCTTTTTCTCCACGCTCTTCAATCCAATTTCGCATCAGTAACTCTGTCACCTTGACCTTCTGTTGGATGGTCTTGCAGTGATGAATCATCTGAATGTGTCTGTGAGCAACTGAGTACTCCCTGTCACTTCCTTTGGCGAAGAATCTGTCTCGCATCTTCTTCACGTAACCATCGTTCTTCGAAAAGTGTTGTGTAATGTGAAAGTAACAAGGCGTTGCTCCATTGCTGTTCGAAACATCGAGACATTCGCTTCTCCAAGTTTTCCAATCGAATAACGGGGAATTGCTTGAAGCAATCGCAGTGGTTGGAACATCCGACGACGAAGCAACAACTGGAAGACTTGCAGAGTACTCTGGTATTATGGCGGCCGAAGCAATTCCGCCGACCACACTACAATCAACCAATGTATCGGTGTGTCTGGGTATCTCTGGAATGGGGTCTTCATCACATATGGTCGGGTGTCTGTTGAAGAACCGGTGTGCTTTTATAAAAGCCTCGGCCCTATCAGATGTGCCCCAATCTATGGCCAATCTCTGCCCAAACAGTTGACAACAAAGGTCGCGGAGAACATAGAGTGAGAAACAGTACGGATAGTACCGCTCTGCTCCAACGTGTAAGTAACAGATTGGTCTGAGGGAGGCCGTAACTTGATTCTGTGTCTCTCTTTCCTTCACAGAAAGTGAACCAATGGTTACCATTGTGCTCAGGTCAAGGCAAGTTCCACCTGTACCATCTGCACATATCTGTCTTGTTCCCACAGGCCTTGTTGCCAGATGCATCAACATAAACATCCCCGTGGGAGATGTCACGAGAAAAGATTGTTCCATCTTCTCGCTGAAGTCTGTTCGCTTGTTGGGAGAGTCCAATCGCATTGCATGCTTGAATCGATTGTGCATCCTACCGTATGTAAGGTCAACAATAAACATCTCGTCCACCCTGACACCCAGTGCAGTGGCCAGGGAATCAGCCGATTGATACAGTCGTGGTTTATATCCATCAGGCAAGGTGAGTCGCCAATTGAGCAGTGCGCGATAAAGGTTGTATGCATTTACAAGATCTTTGTTCGAACCCAAGCATCGCTCAATGAATTTCACCTTCCTGTGGTTCATGTAGTTCCGTAGTTGCCTCTTCAAATGTTCCCTATACTCGGGTTGAAGAAGATAGGTGTGCCCTCGCATTGGATGGTTCCCATTCTTGTTCCTGACCGCGCATTCCAGAGCTTCCGTGATAGCTCTCAACATTTCCTCAGCAGCAATCTTCAAAACAGTCCTATTCCTGGCGGATTCTTCAAAGGAAAGCATTTCGTTGATGAAGGCAACTATGCAATTTGCGAGACCATGCTGGTCACTAGGAGAAGTCGGCTTGCTGGTAATGGAGTGATTGTGTGACAGGAATCCTTTGGTATAAACCTTGTAGACAGGTGTCGATCCGTCAATACTAAGACATCTAATCTGACATCTCCATTTGCACTTGTACAAAAGACCTGTAGCACTGTGAGTAGAGTTGGCGATGCAATGGAACTTGTATTTCTTTGTTCCATTCCTTGTTCCTTCCGTTCCGTCAGCTTTGATACAGTACTGTCCATTGTAATACCCACCGAAGTGTGATTCCACCTGTGCCAAAGCATCTTCAATAGTCCCACAAGCATTACATTTCGGTTCTTCCAAGAAATCACAATAACGCGGAGATCGTCCGTTTCCAGTAACGCCGACCTGAACTACTCTGGGTGGCTTCGTATCATTTTTCCAGTAGGCACTCCTTGGAAACATCGTACCATTCATCCCATGATTCGACATCTTGTTCGGACAAAAGTAACTCCAACTAAGCAGAGATGTCGATACTACTAGAAGAGTAGACGAAATCGCAATGGCAAAAGTCAAGATCTATTTCATCAATATCTATCCTAGAGAAGTGGCAAATCGGATATTCTAAAAGGGAGTGCCGAAATATCGAATTCCTTACTCTTCAGGAATCATCCTCCGATCATCCTATCTCTCTCAAGAGACTGTTCCGCCGATTCAGCATCCTTTTCCAGTTGTTTGAATCAATTGGCAGAAAATTTGAGGGCTTTCGCGGCATGCACCACTCCGACAAACAGATCTTTCCTCGCTGTTTCTCCCTCCATTACAAAAAAAAAAAACCGCGTAACCATGACCGCGTAACTTCGACCATGGCGCATGTCAACAAAGCCGTTTCACGCAACCACTCTTTGCCATTGATGCTTCGTACATACCCTATCACTGTCATACAACCATCCTACAAACAAGACAAGAACCAAACCATGGCATGGGTACGTACCATTTCGTTGAAACCACTGCTTTTTCGGAGGCCGTTTCTTTGCTTTTTTCCTGATTAAAAACATCGCCAACATACTAACCCAATGCATCTATTACAACACTGCAGCAATCCAAATCAGCAAACAGGAAATACAGAAGCACCGCGTCTCCTGCGTCTCCTACATCATCTTGCCTTGCTGACAAGGTACGTGTCGAATTTGGCCGTTGTTTCTTTGTTCATCATGACTCGACTTAATTGATTCATTGGACTAACTTGATATTTGTATCTGTGTTGTCCCGTCCTCGTGACTAACCAATCGTGAATGCACATAAATCTCACACGTTTTGTCTTTATGTGCCGAGAGCCGGCCTACCCATGTGAGTCGCCAGGTTGTGGAAAAGTCCGTACTCCACGCTGGTTAAATATCTAGAGCGATGTTTCATCATCAACCTAGTATGACTAGCGCGGTCATTGAAAAAGGGATGAGTCAGTTCTTGCTCTTCCTTATTTAACTGTTTTCGGCTCTGGCACATCTGCCTTAAGCTGCTCGTCGTATGTCGTATCAAGACAACTTCTTGAACTATCTGCATTTTCGCGACAGCTGCAGGACGGGAAGGAGAAGTCTCCTCTCTATCGTACGCCATCTTTCGCAGGGAAAATATGCTGTTCCACTCCATTGACTATGTAGTGAAATCAAACTGATCTAGGTGAAGAGAGTGTCTTGACCTATGATATGTCTTGCGCGCCCCAAGTTCTGTGGTGACGGCAAATTCCATCGATATATCTACTTATCGGGAACTCAGGGGAGTTAATAAGTGCACACTTACCTTCGTCGGGGGTTGTATTTCCTTTGAACGGGAGTCCTAAGTGTTTGGACGCCCCATGTTCTTCATGAGTAAACTTCTTAGCATGAGTTTGAGTAATAAAGTTTCGGATGCTCTCTGTATCAGTAACAAACAGAGTGTAACGGGTTATTGTTTCCCCTTCTCGTCTGTTGAATCTAACATAGATGAAGTTTCGAGTGTCTCTTGTCTTGCGACGTTGTATGAGTTGATTGGCCATGGACAAGTTAACGATGCTGAACAGATCGTCAGAGTCTAGTTGAGTAGTTGCTAGGCAATTATTATTTGCCGTAGACTTCATTAGTTGC